TCGTACAGCACGCTGGGCGCGCTCAAGATGCACATCCGTACGCATACGCTGCCGTGCATATGCGACCTGTGCGGCAAAGCGTTCAGCCGCCCGTGGCTGCTGCAGGGCCACATTCGCACGCACACCGGCGAGAAGCCGTTCTCGTGCCAGCACTGCAACCGCGCGTTCGCCGACCGGTCGAACCTGCGCGCGCACCTGCAGACCCACTCGGACGTGAAGAAGTACTCGTGCCCGACGTGCAGCAAAACGTTCAGCCGCATGTCGCTGCTGTCCAAGCACTGCGATACCGGATGCCCACGTCTCCAGCCGCTGCCGCTGCCACTTCCGCTGCCGCAACAGCAACACCAACAACAGCAGCAAGAACACGAGCAGCAGCAACAGCACCAGCAGCAGACAACGGTTTAGTTCCGTCAGCCAAACGCGTCCTACTGATAAGTATCGTTGTTGCACGCCCTCCCCTCGATATGTTATTCTTTCCCCACACGTACTTCTCTAACCTTTTACATACATATATATATATTTTTGTTTATTAATATTATTATTATTATTATTATTACTCTATAAATTATTAACGATAATCCTGTTCATCGGTCTTTTTAGTTAGACGCATTTACTAGTCAGTAGTCACTTTCATAACTAAATATTGCACTGAATAAGGATTACTTATTATTATTATTTTTTTTTTTGATTTTTTTTGTGAAAAATTATGTTTTCATCATTGTGAATTATTATCATTATTATTCATATTATTATTATAATTATTATTCTCTTTTTGTTTTACGGGTACACTTTACCATATGATTATATACGTAACGATATGTTACTTATTATTATTTACATATTATTTGATACATATATATTATTATCTTTTTATCGATGATTCTTTTGGGAAGTATAGTACGTGTACGAACAAGTTCAACGTATATTTACTATTTTCTCCGCGACTACAGTATATATGTTTTTTTTTTTTCATTTAGTGTAACATTACACACTATTTATTCCTGCATAGGTTTATTATTATTATTATTATTATTATTATTATTATTATTATACACAGACTGCTTAACTGTTTAAGTCGCCATAATGTTTTACTAGTCGTTCCCGTTGTTTGATGTAAACTATAAAAGTCATCTCGCTCTCACGCGTTGTTAACGACCTAATATTATTTATATACCTCATATATTATATATCATTTTCATGTACTATTATGATTATTATTTTACTCGTACTACTCCTACTCCTACTACTACTATTATTTTTATCATTATTATTATTCAATTGATTTTTTTTTTGTAATTTTTAAGCTAAAAGTACAGTTTCGCGTGCGAGCCACGAACACACAGATGATTGTTTTCATTTATATATTCTAAATAAAATGTGATATATATATTATATACATAAATATAAATATATATATATATGCTCAAGTTTTGCGTTAATTTTGTTCTTCACCATCGGTATCCCCATACAAACACGTCGAAGCTCCGCGCACCCCGGTGGTCGTCGTCGCGCCCGTTCGTATACCTGTACGGCACCGATTACGAAAAGGGTTCCGGAGGGCGAACAGGTCTGTTCAATCTCGTTTCATATTTTTTCCCCACGCATGCCCGTCCGTAAAGCGTATTATAGGTGCGTAGCTACTACCTGCTACCGGAGGTGCGACGACGGCGACCCGCGATCACGGGGGCGGTGCCGGTGCATCGTAAACACGCGTGAGAAATCCACGAGAACGGATGTGCGCGCGGCCTCGCGGGGACGTATCGGGACGCGAACGTTCGAGCCGTCCTCCTTTCGACACAATGGGATTTCTTGTTGTTTGCGTCGGGTCAGTAGTGAGATTCCGGATAGGACGCGATATGAACGCGGCGGCGGTGAGTGAGAGAGAGACACGGGCAGACAGACCGTGAGGAAGAAAGAAACGAAAGATGTAGTCGGCCGTTCTCATCAGAACCGATCGGGTGCCCGTTTCCCATCGAATTACCGCGGCACCGGGTACAGCCGGCGGGCCGGGGAGGGGGACCGGTTGGATGCGAGACCGCGAGTTGACATTGTGTTCGGTGATGTTTCAATGAACGCCGCCGCACCGTCAGCGTAGCCGCCGCGTGTGTTTGCCATTCAAAACGTAACACAACAAAACCAGACGGTCTCGGCCGCGACGCATGTACATTCGTGCGCGGATAAAGTGTTTTGGCGACCCCGCTGCGTGTGAGAACGAACGTGCAGGTTCGACCCGAACGGCCGCAAGGTGCGTAGGCAGTAGGTAGACGTGTCGACCGTGTTTCGTCACGTCGGAACGAGTGCGTCTCGAACTCCGTCGCGTCGTTAGGGCCGCGGCAAGGGCGCTGCGAATCGCGCGGAAAACGGTTTGAACCGGTGAACGGTCCGACCCGGTGCTCGGGTTGGGAAAGATTTGGTAGACCGGCTTAGCCCGACGATTTAAGAACTGCGTTCCGCAATCGTTTAACACAGACTCGTGGGCATAGGAGCAACTAGGGGGGGCGCAATAGGGTCTTTAGCACTCCTGAGTTCAAACGTAGTACTTCTGTTTTTTTTTTTTTTTTTTTCAGATCCATACAATATCTATAGTAATTACAGTTAAATACCATTTTATTTTATTTTCAGCAATTTCTGCATCGCCAATATTTGGGCTATAGTTGCGCCCATGCTCGTGCGGGACATCTACCGACCTTACTTATATTTTGAATACCGCTTTTCAGTTACACAAATGTTTGAATAGCAAATGTTAATATCGATAATATCAACAACAAACCGTACGACGAATAAAGTATACACCAAATTATATCTGAATATTATACGCCGGACAATATTATTTATGTTTTTCTTGTAATGATGACGCCGTCGCTTATCACAACCATCATATAATCTTTTATTACGAAAACATATTTTCTCATGTACTTCAGGTCGACGCGTACTGCGTGTCTGCATGGTTCTCTCTATAACCGTAGTCACCAGTCGACCGACCGTAATTTCGGCTAACATAGGCTGGGAACTGATAAGTGATAATACCAGCGGAGCTCAACGTGTTAATAAATTAATATTAAAAGTATTTTTGATATTACTAGTCATATAATCGTTATAAAATTGACGTAAATTGAAATTCAGGTTTTAATAAATACTATTTTTAATATTAGTCCAATGGCGTCCCCTCCGTCCCAGTGGTAAAATATAGTTGAGGTACGCATAAAAAAAAAAATAATAATAATAAAATAGCTCCGTCCCTGATCCACTTCGGTAAGTTAACACAAAGCAGATATACAATATACGCGTAGGTGCACGTTGAATTTGTTTTCAAAATATTTTATTGACCATCGAAAAGATTACGTATCGATCACACGCGCTGTAGGCACTCGTCAATTTAGCCGTAACAGGCCAAACTTCGACAGAACTTCCTACATGACGATTTTTCGCTACGACTCCATGGCATTTTCATCGAGACCCCGGTTCTTTTGTACGAATAAAAAAAAACGTTCCCTTAATGCATTAATTCTTCACTATCGTTTCTCAATAATTCAGTGATATTGATTTTTCTAATCAAAATCTTTCGAAACTACGGCAAAGAAGGTTTTGGAGAAAACAAACAGCTACACTTCGACACAGTGTTCATTAATGGATTCGAGCGCATTAATAACAAAAACGTATCGGATGACGCGTTTAAATTTCCGTATAATTTCAAATACCTGTTCACTCGGAATGGAACAAAAGTAGTTCGACTGGTAAGTACATAAAACGGTTTTTCAAAAAACAGAGATAATAAAAGTCTATCAGCTACACGCGTGAAATGCACACATGTCATAAGTTATCTACATTGAACTTGTCGCACACGTAATATACATAATTTTTGTACGAAATTATTGTTTACACAACGTATTATTATTTCAAATACGGTGAATCAGAGTTTTTTAAGCAAAAATTATCTCGCGCATCTATTTAAACAAATGTTTTTCGAACAACCTTCGTGTTCATCGACCAGATACTCCGGAAACCATAGCCGTGTCACAGGAAACCTTTTCGTCGGGTCGTGCACGATACGAACGTACAAATGCTATACCAGGGCGTAATCATATTGGTAAAAATCCACCTCGGTCCTTGGTACACGCGATTGGCCCGTTTTCAGACGACCATTAGCTAGCCACCGAAGACGACTGCGGATCAAACACCCGGAATCGAGACCGTGTAAGTTTGTCATACGGTTTTGCGGTCGTCAACTCTATTCGGTCGACGCTCGTGTGCACGTATTTCTAATGGAATGGCCCACGTGCTTCGGTGAAGTCCACTGTGCGCGAGACGAAACACCGGGCAGCAACTTGTTCGCGTACGTCGAGCGAATGTCGAGCTGCTCGGAACTCATTTTTATTGACGATGCGTCACGTGCAATCGACGACGATAACGATGGCACGACGATGTAATTGTACCGCGTTATCCCGGTGTATAAACAATGTATCGACCTACGTATAAAGTACCTACCTAGCCGGTCATTAAGCGTTAATACACACCCGCTCCGGTGTCGTTAGCCATCGTTCAGTCGAGTTTTCTCAACCAGAGGTTTTCGACTGCCGGCCGAAACGTTTTCAGGAAAATAAACGAATAATCGTCGGATTAAGTTGACCGTAAGACAATTGACGCAAATGTGGAAAACATAAAATGTTATTCGTGGGTAAGTATTTCATCACATTACGTGGTACATCCGAACGTACAATGTTTCTGGACAGCTACGAATAGCAGAGCATAGTTTAACACACAAAGTACTTGACACTAGTGCCCCCCCCCTCCGACAGTGATGATTAAGTGCTATACAGTGGTGAGTGATCGTGCCACTGACCAACACATTATCATAACAACCGAGGTCAATCAAATATTTTTTCTTTGTAGCAAGTGCAGTTGCCAGTTGGAATAGTAGACGATCGCTACCATTGGTAACATATGCGTAGTTTTGGAAATTTCTTGTGGGGAGGGGTAAACTTTATTTTATGTTGATATACCGGATACTTAGAGACTAAATATATTTAATGTACACCATACTGTACTGCGATGGTAAATGCCAACAAACAAATATACTTTGATTAATCTGTTAAATTTTTTTTTTTTTTAGGGCGTGGTTACTCCTTTCCTTCGTAGTTAACGCCTGTGAATGATAACAAACGATTATTTTATGCTCTTGTACCTATAGTTTATCCCATATTATATTAAATAAAAAAGAATATTTTATTGAATATAGAGCATGCACGCAATTATAGCTTTGATATTGATATAAAATATAAATAGATGTTATACGAAAATAAAAAAACAAAAAGTTAAATAATACACAACATTTGAACAGTTTTATCAATTTCTTCGGAAGTCGTCGACCATCATCTTTTCTATAAATTGAAGGTTGGGCAAAGATGTAAGGTTGATAAGACTCAAAAGTTTTCAAAGGAAACTTTTCGTCAAATTCAAAAAGTTTCAATGCTGTTGAAATGAAAAGTATTGAAACTTTTTGAACACTATACAGTATATACTTTATAGTATAGACAACTTTACATTAAAACTAAATATTTGATATATTATTAGATATTGATACTGTTTCCAATAGCTTTTTAAAATACTTTTACTAATTTAATAATTATTATTTGTTAATTTTTTTAGTTTTGTTATAAGTTTTAGTCTTGGTTTGGAAATTCATACAGTTTAATATTAGTTTCTAATGGAAAGTCGATAAATTACTAAGAAAATAAAGAATTAAACACATTGCTTCAATATAGTTAATATATTTCAATGAATACCATTTAAATTTATTCGGATTTTATAAATATAATTTTTAAATAATTTGATAGTATTGTATAGGTGTGTAAAAAAATTATTTAATCATATAAAAATCAAATTAAAAGTATAAATGTGTCAAATAAAAAGTTTTAACAGATCACAATGAAAACATGAAATTTATATCTCTGATACTGGGCGGGAGTAACTTGCTGTGTAACTACATTTCGGATAACATTGTTTTTTCAGAATATCGTACCATTAAACAATTCTATATATATACATACATTTTTTTTTTTTTGGGTATTATGTTATTTATCTTATTATTATCACACATCGCCATGAATTATAAACACCAATAAAGTGTCTAATTTATATATTTTTAATTATTATTTCTTCAATTATCTAAAATCCACATAAGCAACGACTATATCAGTTCAGCC